CCCCTTATATACGTCCTTGGGTTTACTCGAACTTAATTTCACAAATTCTGCACCGTGTAATATTTTCGAAATACCAATTTATAATTAAATTATTAAAACAAATTTCGCATTTAAATATATGTAAAGTCTGTTTTTTTTTTTAAGATAATTCCCCAAGTCAAAAATTTAGTAACTATGCTGGCAACACAAGCCTTTTTTACATAAAAAATTTGAAAGCATTGACAATTTCACATTGCATTGCCAACATAATGTCATTTTGAATTTTATCTTTAAAAAAAAAAACAGATTTTATGTCCGATTGATCAATAAAGTGCTATTTATAGAACAGTTTTGCGTCAATAAAGTAGCACTTTATTGTACTAGTAAAATAAAGTGCTACTTTATTTTACTAGTACAATAAAGTGCTACTTTATTGCCTACCTGGACTACATGACAAGGTGAAATAGGTCCTGACAACCTGCCAAAGTGAAACAAGTCCTGACAACCTGCCAAGATGAAACAGGTATACCTACGCGAATTTTACTTTTTTCATTAACTTTTTTTAATCTTTAACAAAAACCAGTCGTGATCGTACATAAAATCATGTATATAACGCTTACATAAACAGGCTTTATTGACCCATTATTTAATAAATAATAAATTATTCGTACAATAAAGCCTTACTTTATGTACTTGTTATATAAATAGCTATTATCTGACTAATTGTTTTTTTTTTTATATAAAAGGTGAATCATTTGCGTCCATTTTTACTCATACTCTTCACCATTTTAGGTTTTTACTTACTAGCATGGATAATGTATTGGCGCCAGTAGCATTTTTCTTTACCTAAAAAAAAAGAAAAGAACATTAATAAAACTGAAAATGCACTTCACAGTAATGTATTCCTTCACTTGAAGAATATTTCATTATTTCCATAAGTATCTTTGTAATTAACTATTTTATTTATCAACCAATTTTATCCATTTTTGGTTCCGTGAGGGAATAGACATTTTTGAACCAGAATTCGGGTTTCAGCAAGAACAATGTTTGGATTTTATCAAATTACACGTTACAAAGAAAGAAGGAACGATTAAGTCTGAACTCGCCCCTGAATTCAAATATGACGCAAGCCCGTAACAAACTCGCTTCTCATTGGACGCTCACCTGCAACCCTCGAGTTGCGCACGCAATTCACCAAAAAAAGATACGTCAATTACAATTTGGACAATTTATTCCCGGATTTCTAAATGCAGCTTTGTAGAAAAATTCACGTAGGTAAGTCCGATCCTGTCTTAAATGTTCAGTCAAAACTGGGAAGTCTCACAAGAACAAAGCAGCCTACTAATGATTCAAAGAAAAATTGAATCGGTGTATTACATAGAAAATTATTAGCGAGAAGAACTTTAATTTGGCCCGCACTGTACATTAGGTAAGACATTTCCTATAAATATAGCGCTAGCTGTAGCTACTTGGTACAGTAGCTAAATAAACCTTTACATACAGTGGCGACAATAGAGGTCTCGCCACCATTTTGTTCCCAACCTCTTGTTACTTTTGAATATTAATACTTATATAGGATTTTAATGGACATCTATCATAAAAAATTGAAATCAACGTATTTGATGACTATTATTAGAGAGATATCGGTGAACCATATAGCGCGTATGGACGGTAATAACGTCAGGATTTATTTTTTTAACGTAAAGCGGTATCACACTTTTTAATTACAGTTATCGGAAAACAATTTTACGTAAAATTTCGCATCCGTTATTTTATAACCATGTCCATAACCTAACTTGTACATTGTTGTGATTTTTAAATTTCGTCGTGTCTGTTGTTTATAATCAGAATCGAATGATTTGATTTCAATGCTTTTTTATTATTTTTTGAACTAGTTTAATTAAAATTCATTTTCAATTGTACTGAATAAATCGCGTACCCATTGGGATCAATCTCAACTCTCAAGGTAAGTGATAATTAATTATAGTAGATAGGTAAAATGGTGTAAAGTTCAATGTTTTTTTTTAGTTATTATTAAATTGCTGCTTAAATTCTTCCTCTGTTTTGTGGGCTTTGTGGCATAATGGAAGAGGATCTAGAGGCTGTAATTATTGCTGGTGGGAATGATCAGGATATTGAAGCTGCAATCTTGATCAATATTTTACGAGAACAAGGTGATCAAGTCCCACCACAGCAGTTCAATTTGGAAGATGTGGACAATAATGACTGCAAGCTTTTCTTTCGTTTTGAAAAAAATGACATATATAGGCTATGCCGAGCTTTACGAATGCCAGACTTTGTTAGAACATATAACCAGAATAAGGTCACAGGTGAGCTTCAACTGCGGTAATAGCTTTAAACAGGTTCATATGATGGACCTAGTTCATGGTGGGGCAACAAAAACTTCCCACTCAGGTGATTATATATTATTATTATGTATTACCTAACACCTGAGAGAACCTATAGGGACAAGCCCCACAATATACCTATTATAATCTACACATTAAAACAATGCATTTTTTACTACAAGGTCTCACGGGTCTCTGTTTGCTTTTGAGAAGATTGGCATATCCAAACAGGTTACATGATTTGCATGCATTCTTTGGATATTCCCCTCAAGCTATGTCCATAGTAATAAACAGGGTAACGGACATACTGATCCAAAATCATGGACACTTATTATCCAATCTGGAACAACTGCCATGGTTGAATCGGCAGAGGTTTGAGCTATATGCCCAAGTAAGTAATATATCTAAACATCAACTTATATTATGCTTTTTATGCATCATTTTCTTGCAGGTCATTCATAATAAAGGAGCACCTATGAACAACTGTTGGGGTTTCATTGACGGTACAGCTAGGGCTATCTGTAGGCCAACTATTGAGCAGGAGAATTATTATTCAGGGCATAAAAGATATCATTGTATAAAATATCAATCGGTATTGTGCCCTGATGGAATAATTGCCAGTTTAAAGGGTGGTTGGCCTGGGAGGAGACATGATGCTGCTATGTTTGCAGAATCAAATTTATACAATGAACTAGAAAGGGTGGCAGTTTTTCCAAATGGAAATAAATTTATACTCTATGGTGACCAAGCCTACGGAATTAGAGAATTGCTTTGGGCTCCATATGCTAATAGAATAAACATGGAACCTCATCAACAGCAATTCAACAATTTAATGAAAAGGCTTAGGTTAACAGTTGAGTGGGGGTTTCAGAAAACCATAGCAGAATTTGCTTTTTTAGATTTTAAAAAAAATCAAAAGCTTCTGCTTCAAGATGTAGAGGCAATGTACAAAGTAGGAGTTTTATTAGCTAATTGCCACACCACATTATATGGTAGCCAAACCTCCCAATATTTCAATATTATGCCAATGGGACTAGAGGAATATATTGGATAAATGAATGTGTTAAAAATAGGCACCTCAACAGGCACTTATTTGAACATACACAATTACCTAATTTGATAGTTATTTACGTTACAAGAGAGTTTATGAATATGATTACAAGGTTGTGTCCTTTCACCTCGCCTGTGGACACTAGTGATAGATAGCATCCTTACCAGACTAAGCAATGTCGGACTAACTGTCCTAGGCTATACTGATGATCTGGCAGTAATAATCAGAGGTAAGCATGAAAGCATAATAACAGGCCGAATGCAAAGTGCCTTGAATATAATCAAAAACTGTAGTGAGGAAGAAGGACTTTCTATAAATCCCAGCAAAACAACCTTGTTTTGATTTACAGAAAGAAGAAAGCTGGATCTGCCAGCCCCCACTCTAAACGGCACTCAATTATCTTTCTCGGATGAAGTTGAGTATCTAGTGGTCACCCTGGACTGCAAACTTACTTGGAAAAACCACCTGAACAGAACAATATCAGCGGCTGGAAGAAGCTGTAACAACTCTAAATGCAATCTATAGTGAACATGATTACAATAATGAGTGTGAAAGATTAGAACGACAATAAATTAGGCCACTGATTGTAACCCTCACAAAAAAAATCTGAATTGATTATGAAGTATTATGCAGTATATACCATTTGGAATGTTTTACTTAAGGGAGTTGACTAGGTTGTGAAATTAAAAACCCATATTTTCAACATTTTTTTTTTTTTTAATTTAATCATCAAAAATTAACACCACTAAATTCTAAATAGGAACTTCAAATTACAGTCAGGTAAGTATATGTATGTACAGGTCGTTTCAAATTGGAACTTCAGCATTTGCAAATTCGGAAACGGTGGAAAATACAGGGTGGCCTTAATTGGGACAAAGTTGTGAAATTTTGTACTCAATAAAATGCCTTCTCAAATGAGTGAAAAAATTCTGGCTTTGAAAAGAGAAATTTTGGAAAATATCTACAGCCATATGCAACATCTTCTTTTAACTTAAATGCGCTTTTTGAAACTGGGTCACTTTTGAAAATTCATATTCTAAGCAATACAAATTTTTGAAAGTACCAGTTTTAAAAAGTGCTTTTAAGTTGAAAGAGGATATTACATTCGGCAATCTTTATTCCGACGCGGCATTCCATTGGTGATAAAATCAGTAACTTTGTCAAATTTAAACCACCCAGTAAATCTTACCTTTTTCATAATCCCAACTGCTGAAACTCGAATCTGAAACACCCTGTACCTAGTGTACATTAAAAAAAATAAGTAACCTAAATAAATAAATCAAAATAGGTAGGTGGAAGAGAACAAACCAAAACAAAATAGTTATTTTTGTCACAAGTACCTAAAATGAAGTTTTTCAGGATGAATCATTGCTGTTTCCGGACGAGGCGTTAGCCGAGTCTGGAATAGCAGATGAGTCCTGAAAAACTTCGTTAGGTACGTGTGACAAACACTATTTTTTGTCATACGCTTTTTAGAATTCTTCAGAACGCTAAAATTTGCAAAATTTCCTTAATTTTTGAAATCATAAAGGTGCATCCAGGAAGAAAAAAAAATCCCAAAAAGAAGCATTTTACGGACTTAAATGAGTCCGTAAAATAGCTGTTTTTGGGAGCGTATGACAAAAATAGATATTACGCCTTACCAAGGAAGTACAAAATATCATAATAGATATACAGAGAGATATTCCTACCTATATCGTAACTTAACAAAATATAGAAAAAACAAATATCACGAAAAATAATTACATCGAACAAATGGGAAAAAAAAATGAAAATTATTTTATTTTTCTTCATACTTCTTCAATCTTTCCATCAGTGACTGAATAAGTTGATGTTGCTGTTCAATCATTTTGGATTTTTGGTCTCTTTCAAACATTTCTTGTGTAAATCGAGTTTTTTCCATTTCCAATTTCTGTTTTCTTTCTATATAATCCATTTCGTGCCGTTGTTCATCTAAGACTAGCCTTCTGTTTTCCAACTCGATTCTTTTTTCCTCCAAATTTAACTGCCTAGTTTTTAAAATTTCTTCCCTTGATTCTTTATTATCCAAATACTCTAGAGCATTTCTCCTTAACGGAGCACTTCTATTAGTTCTGTTTTTTCTAGGGGCTTCAACGGGTATTTTTATTACAACAATATTTTAGAGTATTACTTTTATCTACCTACCTAAAATTTTTCTCGGAGCACTTTTTTCTGGGTTAATTTTTGGAGTTTCAGCTTCTAAAACCAATATAGTGGGTTTGGGAGGTGGCAGAGTTTCAGTTTCATTGGATCTATGCTCATTATTATTCTCATTATTAGTTGATATTTGAATTTCATGGCTCGTTTCGTGGTCAGTTAGGTCGATTATTGAACAAAGTTCTGAAAAAGAACACATTACCTAATATGAGATTTCATTTTGGATCATTCAACTTCTATTTTGTAAACTCAAGAAATTTTATACAGATTTGTCATTAGATTAGATTTATTTAGGAATACGAAGTGAAATAATTATTTTATGTTTTATACTTTTACACTTACGATAATCATGGTCTAAAGCTATTGGAGAAAAAGATGGAGCTTGAGCTGGGGCCGCTGGGGGCAAGTTTTCAATATCAATGTTGTCCGAGATTAGTGTTCTGGAACACTCATCTCTTGACAGTTTCCCTAATTCAGCAATTTGTTTTTCCTTGCTCAATTTCCTTTTTTTAGTGAGTGGCTTTACTTTGGCATTATTACACATATCACTTACTTCTTGTAAGAGTTGGTCTCTCTCAGAATGTACTTCTTCTACTCCAGACCTGGACATAAATTTATTTAAAAATTCATATTATTATAATTAATTTTTTCAAACCTACAATATTTGAGTGGTTTTATCCTTCTTCAACCAAATATCTAAAATAAGAAACAAGTGATCCTTCAAAGTTCTAATAGAAAACATTTTTCCTGTAATTATGAAAATATTTTTTTGGATTTCTTCCCATTTTTCTACTTCTTCCAATGGGTTCAAACCAACAAATTCTCTTAGTAGTGCCAGATCGTCATCTGCTGTAAACCTGAGCCTCTTTATAGCTTCTTTACTGGTGGAAGCAATAGTATTTTGAGTCATATTCATATTTTCAGTCATCCAAAAACATCACTTGCACGAAATCACAACAAAAATACATATTGTTGATAAACAAACATGATGACATAACCTCTAATATTCAACCAGCTGGCCCGTTGTCAAAAATCTGCGCATGCCTATTTGAGCAATTTTTAGGCGTTATTCGAAATAACGCTTTACGTAAATGCTGGGTAAATTACGTTATGCGGTAACGTTATTTCAGTACGTAGTGTTAAAAATCCAATCGCGCATAGGTTTAATGTCAAAATAACGTAGGCGCTAATACCGCATGACGCTTTTTGGGTTACCGATATCTCTCTATTAAGTCCATCAAATACGTTGTTTTCCATGTTTTATGATGGATGTTCACCTAAATCCCATATATTGAGATTTGAAATAAGCAATAGGTGGGCACAAGATGGCGACGTTTGCAATAAAAATATATGGGATTTTAGAACCAATCAAAAATAAGACGGCAATTGTCGCCACTGTGGGTAATAGAATCACTATATTACTTGGGAGAAGAAAAGAAGAATTCAGGTTATGTTGATGAATTACAATTTGGACAATTTATCTCCGGATTCCTGAATGCAGCTTTGTAGAAAAATTCACGTAGGTAAGTCCGATCCTGTTTAAAACGTTTCAGTCAAAACTGGGAAGTCTCACTAGAACATAGCAGCCTACTAATCCTTCAAAGATACATTGAATCGGTGCATTACATAGAAAATTATTAGCGAGTAAAACTTTAATTTGGCCCGCAGTGTACATTAGGTAATCAAGACATTTCCTATAAAGATGGCGCTAGCTGTAACTACTTGGGAGAAAAAAAAGAAGAATTGAGGTTATGTTGATGAATTAGGATGTACAGGGTGTCCAAGATTCGATGGTTTTGGGGGGTTTCGGGTATTTCTAAAGGAGTTGAAGATAATCTGATCCATACTTGCGAGCCTTGATTTTCAAGAGAAATTAACTGATGAAAACCGCATCTCAGATATGTCGCGTCGTTTTTATGCTACGAGGGGTTTTTGAAAAGTTTGGAGTTTGGCAGGGGGGCTATAACCTTTTTATTTATTATGGTAGAGAGAAGTTGTGGGTTAAGGACGAAGTGGAATAAAACTTCCTTTTTTACAAATTCGCCGACGGAAGACCTAAATAAAAGGTCGAAAAGTCGGCGAATTTGTAAACAAGGAAGTTTTATTCCACTTCGTTCTTAACCCACAACTTCTCTCTATACCATAATTATTACTTTGGAGGACACTATATTTTCACTATGTCTTTTTATTTATGAAAATTTGGTCAGCTTTTCCCCTTGTAGCTTAAAAACGAATCGAGACATCGAGATGCAGGTTTCACCGGTCAACTTCTCTTGAAAATTGAGACTCGCAAGTGGTACCCAAAACGCGCTAAAACCATCGATTCTTGGACACCCTGTACGTAGTTCAACAGTCTTTTGGTAATCCAAATAAATTCTCTCCAACTGTTTTTTTAATGATGTGCCAGCGATTTTTCTAGATTTTACCTAATCTCCGAACTTGCAAGAAACACGTCAGAAGTAAAAGCACAAAAGCTTCACGAATCCTTCATAAATTAAACTAATACGAAAATTAACGATAAGCGCATTTTACAATTATTTTACTCCAGCACCGGCATTATAATGAACTCCTAAGTCATCTGTAATATTTAATCTAAAACGTGAAGTATAATTTACGGCGCTCATTTATCCGATAATATATGTTAATTCAAGTGTTAATTACTGGAATAGAGCTCTTGCATAGACAACAAAGTATAGTGTACGCGAATAATGTAGGTACATACACAGGTTGGCTGTAACTTTATGTTCATGGAGGCTTGACAGGCGAAAATTACTATTAAGTCGTGTGCAGATTTCATTTTTATGAGCGAGGTTTTGAAATGAAATAAAACAGACACTTGAGACATAATTTTATTAAGCTTTAGCTATCATATCATGCTAGAAAATGAAGAATCTGATGAAGATAAATTTTCGAAAAAAAAAATACAAATGTATTGTGATGATGAAAATATAATAAGTTCCTTATAGTAGGTATATTAGAACATAAATCGCTGAAATTTGAGAAAACATTTCTTTAACAACTTTTGTTCCTGTTGACATTTTTTTCAACATAGCATTGTAAATTTATGTGGAATCTCCGGCAAAAGTTGATTGCTTATCTGTATGAAAGTATCCTTGTGTCTTATTATAATTTGTTAAATTTCACTGCATGGAATTGATTTGTGGTTAAGTGTATTGTATCAAATTTGTATTACTTTTATGTCGACTTCCGTTACAAAAAACCCCGAAGCCATACAAATAAATAATAAAATATCAAATCACATTTCATATAGATCATATTTAAAATATTAAAATATTTAAAACGAGTATCCATAACATTCAGGTCGCCCTGTTAGTGCATATTAAAAATTATTTGTGAAATGTAATATTATTTGTTTTGCAACAACATTTTATAAATAACTTACACACAAATATGTAGGTATATATTTTTCAGCACTTTCATCTAGTCAAAAGCATAGTTGAAAAAACATAAAGCTTGGCCACTGGTAAATGTAGTGCATCGATTTGGTGAGACAACTCGATCCCAATTTATAATTGACTTTTGATGCAAAAAACCTTTCTAATTCCATATTGTTAAAAAGGTTGACCAGAGACCAATGAAGTTAATAAATAAAATAATAATTTACATTTGGGTTCGAATATATTTGGTAATATTTAACTAATGATGGATGGGCAAAAATGTTTGTTGTGTTATTATTTAGTCTATTTTTCACAGATTGTCATCTGTGTAAAAATATAGCGACGAGATAGCATTTGAGTTAGTGTTCGGCTCTTTTACTGATCCAGATTGTAGTATAACATACCCGGGTTCGTTCAGTAAGATTGATCGATGAGAATTTTTATTACCTCTTAAACAACAAATATTCTGAAAAACGAAATGAAAAACAAATAGGACCTACGTTGTGAAAACTTACTCAATTTTACTTACTGAACATTTGTCTGACAGCAAATATTTGGGAAATTTAAGGGAAGTTGTGATATGTAAAAAAAAAACGAAAAATTTGTGAAACGTCTACTTTATTATTAAAGTAAATCGTACCGTTCTCATCCTGGAACTAACGAGGGGAAAGAGCACGGCAGAGAAACCCTCGATTTAACATTCCTCAAAAATCGAAACATACTGTGTTATTTTAATAATAATTGTGAGTCATTTAGTTAATAATTTAAGTGAATAAAGTTTAAATTAGGTACCATCCTTTGTCTTTGTGCTAAAATTTTAATCACACACACAAAATTCAATCAACACTACCTATATTCAATACTGAGAGTTTTTGGTTAGTTAGCCAGTTTTCCAGGAGGTACTGAGGTCCCATACGGGAAGCTATAGTTGTTTTTGAGCCAATATCTCTAGATTGATTATTTCAATTTGTTAGGATATTCTCTCGTCAGGGTAGGAAAATGTTAGTAAATTCAACAAGGCCCTAATACACGCTCTGAATACACAAAATCAAAAACTCAGCACAAAAATACTGCACATAATTTCTTAGGTTTTAATTTACTTCTTTATCTGTGTCGTTTACAGCATGAAACGATTTTTGTTTTTTTTTTTTTTAAATGGGTGGTTTTCCTCAAGATCTTGATACGGAGTGGTGTCAGTGCACAAGCGATTGAAGCCATTTTTGGCAAATAAAATTTAAAATTCTCGTTGAGATAACAGCAGTATGTAAATTCAAATATACTTTGAACTGGTAATGGATTTCGAATGGAAACAATTGTCCGCTAAAGCAATACAATCAGGTACATTTTATCCAATGAAGGCTTTTACAACGAGAGTCACTGTTGCAGGCTTTACTTCATTCACGCCCATCATTCCCCTCTAAATCCTTTATTCTGAGCAGCTACAAAGTAACTTAAAAACAAAAACGAAACTCATATATATTAGAATCTAGTGTAAAAGTTTAAATCAATGTGAGGTGATTGCAAATTCGAAGAAAAATTCAATATCCTATCCAAGAAATCAATAGCAAACCTCAATCTGACAATATCTCTTAACAACATCGAAACTGGTATAGGGCCTTAGAGCCACTGCTAATAATTACAAACAACTTCTCCGTTACACATTGCCCTAGCAACTCTGGCACGCTATATTGAACATTTTCTGTGAAACTAAATCCTAACATTATGTTCGACGTTAATTACGTAAATTAAAGTGGTCGGGTGTTTACGGAAGGAACCGGTAGATATCATCTCTCTTATCGGACTTCAAGGTAGCTTAAGCTGTAGACCGAAGTCGTGGTGGTATGGGCCGAGATGGTTAAGAAATTGCTGCTGGCTTATTTAATGAGTCAATGTTGGGTTTAATAATGATGGTCATGATTCAGGTAACATGATAGGTTGAGAATTTATCGATGCTTTTAGGGATTTTTGCCTTTTTCGGGATAAAATGTTTACCGCTAAAGAAGTGTACTCAATTTTTGCATTATGGTGCATCACGGAAAGGTTTCGTTGTGCGAAAAACTCGAATTTTATTTATTATTATAATTCAATTTTGAATAATTTCCTTATTTATTTTTTTCATATGTTACCTTGCAATGAAGAGCTAAAAGAGATTCTCTCCGATTCGTTGTAAAAATTAATGCAAAACATCTATCCAGGCCGAGATATAAATTTTTTAAAATCATTCAACTTCTGGGAAACACACACGCGGCCAACGAAACATGAGAAATGTATATTTGCTTTCTTACAGTGGGGCCATTTTAAAGTGCATTGTATGACATTTGAAACGGGCATGCACCTCGGATTTCCAACTTGTCAAAAGAATGATATTATTAATGGACACAATCGCAAGATACGACCCCGTTTCTGCTAGAGCTATAGCTGCCAGATGGTTTTGTGATATAAAACAAATATTTTACAATAAGGACACGTGTGTATTTTACCAGAATGTTCCTGAAAATGAGCATAAAAATAGGTTAATGTAGAGAAATATATACGCAAAATCAATTATTGTACCACCAAGCACCCGGCTTGTTGCGTTTATTAATATTGGCCGACGATTTGATCAAATTACAGCCTTTGTATGCCAACCCGTAATTATTCACCAGGAGAGATTACGCCAATTGAACCACCATTCCGTTTTATTGCACAGATATTTGGTAAATTACATATTTTACGCCAAATAGAATCATCGCACATAATTAAATTAATTAAATCCTGT